AATGAGCAAGTTTTGAAAGTAGTTCTATATGTATATAAATTATACAGCTGGTTAGATTAGTTTAGCATAAAATCTGTCCAATGGTTAAAAAAAATCCACCTGGCTAAAGATCGCTAATTTAAATATTTTGTCTTGAGACGTAGATGACGTACATGAAATACACAGCTAGCAAGGTTGTTTGGAACGCTGTTTTTCATGCTATGGGACAAGTTAGGAGGCAGTTTCCCGCCTATTTTCACATATTAAATTAAATCCTAGGCAACATTTCACCAACTCACCTGGAACACCTACAATGTCAGACACCTTTCTCCATGCATTATCTTTTTTTATTTAAGTCCCTGTAAGCAAACAGGGACAATGTCGTAAAGGACGAGAAAACCCGCCACTGCAATTATCATTTTCTCCTTCATCGTGCTTCAGGAACAAATGTTTGATGGGAACAAAAGTTTATGTGAAGTGCTCTCCAGAGTGGAGGATTTCTACAACCCAGCTGGTTGCCACTGAAGTGCTTCATTACCCATAAAGTTGCTTGGACTTTGTCTTTCTCTGATGCTCACATTGCCCAACACACGCCGCCAACGGGCATGCTACTGTTCCCTGTTAAGAGACACTGGCTCAGATAGAAAATGAATTACTCATTACTCAGCAAGAATTACTCAGTCAACAGTGGAACTCACAGAGAAACACTCTGAATCTCATTTGTTTAATTTGAACACAAAATGGATAAGGACTAAGTGTTTTTTTTCTAGGGTTATGCTAAGCTAACTGCTGCTGGATGTAGCTTCATATTTAACAAACATAAAAGTGGTATAAATCTCTAATTTAAGACAATTAAGCAAATATGAATATTTCCAAAAATGTCAAATCATTCCTTTAACTACTTTTATATACATCTAGGAAGTTTAATCTTTAACAATGCATGATATTTTATAAGCCGATCACAGGTTTTCTATGTAAAATGCTAAGGGGAAAGGTTTATTCCCCCACTGAAAAGCTGAGTCCTGAAAAAATCATCAAGTTGAACTGTGTTTGGCAGAACAAACATCCAAACCCTGACTCAAGCGATTCACTCGTCACTGCTGAGAACAACAGCTCCTTATACATAAATGGAAGAGATTGTGGCTGCAGATCAAAACACACAAGCGTCCCTCCAAATGAGAACAAAAAAAAAAAACAATGGTCAAGTGAATCGAGCAATAGAAAGAGGCTGGAAGTCTGGCTGACTTGAGGGGCCCAAAAATAGGACACATTCCTCTGCAGCAGAGGGTGTGTGTGTATGTCAACAGGAATACATACCAAGCTCCTGCTGAGGGGCCTGACTTTCTCCACACAGGAAGGGAGGGCAAAACAAAAGGACTGGCTGGCGTGTGCTCGCTCGGGAGCTGGGTGGAGGATTCCCGTCATGCTGCACAGGAAGGTATCATCTCTTGAACGCACGCATCAATGGAGTGTATCATAGCTTTGGAATTTAAAAGATAAGCCAAGTTTTATCTTGTACTTTTGACCAAAGCAAATGAGGTAAAAGACGATAAATAAATGAATTACTAAATCTAGGGCATACTTGTGCAGGATGATCTCATGGGAAATGAATGTTTTGTCTGTTATTTTTTGTTGTTTTTTTTGCTGCAGGTAACCTTAAAGAAGTTATCTGTAAGTTTTACTATTGCTACATAGCTAGCGTTAGCATTGACAGCTGTTTACTTACCAGTCTCAAAGAAACATTGTGAGTTTGGCATCAAACTTATTTCATTTAATCATCAACAGCTGTCTCCAGAGGTGGAAAGCAACACAAATGTTAACTCTTGTCTCTATCACGTCTTTTCTTCTACTGAAGTTAGCATGCTAACCAGCTCTGATAGCAACTCTCTGTAGCCTCCAATCTGCCCAGAAGACGGACGTATCATAACCTCTTGTCTTAGAAAGACAACAATGGCCAAAGCTTTAAAGTGAGACTCTAAGTTTTGCAATTTTTGCTGAAGAGTGGCTACTGTGGCCACATTTGGCAATTACAGGATAAATAGACATTAAATTTCCCTTCATTTTCCAATGTTAGCATTAGGCAACTGGACTGAGGCTGAAGACTCGTAGCTGACTTAGCATTGCACTCCTACAACACTGTCAGATTCAAAATGGAGAGTGTTTAAAAGTATAAAAAAGAAAATTTACCTTGTTTACAGATTTTACGGACTGATCTATTATGATGATATCATAATAGATCAGTCTGTAAAATCTGTAAACAAGGTAAATCATTATTCCTTGTATTGTTCTTTTTATACCACAAAAAGCTATTTTTAACTGTTTAACTGTTTTGCCTTGTTGACAATATCATGAACATACAGTAATATATTTCGAGAATTTGCTAACTGGTCATACCAGACCAAGCAGGGCTGTTGCAGAAAAGCCCCTGAGCGTATTAAATTGAGCAGAGATTCATTTATTTCTTATGAATTCAACTTTCTATTTGTAGGAGGAAGGTTCTCTTTTTTCTTTTTTTTTCCTTTCAGAAGTTATATAGACTCTTTAAACCTCTGAAAATGAAATACGCTAACAAAATATACATGGTAACATTTTGGAACCAATTATAAAAATATGACCTGATAATAGTTGTGTGGAATGATGTATGAAAGTGTGCGGTTTTAATTCAAAATGTTATGTAATACAGGTCTGCTGTTGAAAAGGAACCAGTCCTTATGAAAATACCAAGCGAAACCAAGATTGTTCTAGTGTTTGGTTAGTTGTACAGAAACTATACCATAAAAAGTTTAATATGTTAAGATATAACCGTAGATGATAGATGTTTTCTTGCTGTTGAACACGGATGTTAGGGCATCATGTAAACAGATTAATTATTGAAAAGTGTACAGATATAAACATATAAAACTGAAGCGTTGTAAGTTGTAATCCCCATAAAAATCACAAAGAAATAACCAGGATTTCTTCTTGGGTAAAGTTGTGTTATTTCCAGTGTTACCACTCAGATAAGTTGGGTAATGTTTCATCAAACTTTTGGGTTTGGCTCAGAGCAGGCTTAAACGATCCTGTTTCCTAAAAATAACATGTTTACACTACTAAGTGGTTTTGCCATTTTTATTAAGGTGCAGTCACATTAAACTTCTTACTTCCCTACGAATACTCCCTCTGCCTCCCACTCCACTGAAGCCAGCACAAGATATGGGAGGTGAGTGTGTGCTCAGCTCCCCTGAGAGTCTTTGTGACCTGTGGTTTCCCATAACACTGTTGTCTGTGTAGACCTGCAGACATTTACGCTTATCTTCACAGAACCATAATTTGGCTGTAAAGCTGCAGTAAAGCTGCCGTCTTCAACATTTTAACATATTAACAGTGAGGTCAGCTAAAGTGTGTAATGTGAAAGGAGCTACAAACTCAACTCTGCGGGGCTTTTTAGCCTCTTTTAGCTCATTGTTTTGATTTTATGGCCCATTCCAGTTACAGCAGGCAGCTTTATGTAATAGAGAAACTCTGATAAACCTTCACCATTACAATTTAACAACATGTCAGACGTTAGCTGCCCACAAATACCAGTTCTTGCCGCTTTAATGTTGATTTTGACAAATTTTAAAAAAGCGTAAAGCTTAAACAACTTGTCAGTGAACGTTTCCAGGTATGTTCAGTAATGAACAATTTGCTAATTTGCAGATGTGTTTATTAAAAAACGTACCTTCCAATATAATTTTTCCCCTGTTGTTTCTTTCACTGCTTTATTGAACCAATTAAAATGTATTTGTTGCATATTAAACATATTATTTAGAGGAGGGGTTGACTTCAGTGGGACATGGTCAAGGTAACATAATATTTAATATAAAAGTGCAGAATGTGTTTAATAATTTATTATTAAATACATGATAGATATTGCTGGTGTACCAAGTGCATATTATTACATAAACCATCTATTCTGCAGGGTGACTGATTTCTGGGGGACTGTCCCCAGAAATGCCCCCGTTTTTAACTGTGAAATAAAAACAAGACATCTGGTGTTGCACTTGTTTTGGCTAACAGAGGGGTCTGGCTGTTTAGCGGCTTCAGAAGTGAAGCTAAAACCATCAAAATAGAGTTATCCAATCAGATGTTTCTATTTTTTTTGTCTCTAGGCAGAGAAGAAGTTAGCTGGCTTACTCATTTGTTAGGAGTTCATAACCGGACAGTAAACTAACAAAAATAAACATACCCAAAGCCCCCAGCCGTAACTTGAAAAAAATGTTATGTTGGAAGAAGTAAAGAAGAAGAAGCTTTTATGAAAAATGCTTTTGATTATTTTTATCTGTGGAGCCTTACGAACTAAAGGGATATAAATAACTGAAGAATAGATAGACAATAAGGTTTCACTACATGTTCAGAGGTAGGGAGTCGCCATTTTTTCAGTCATTGTTCAGTATAGTTTATTACAGTACCACAGTTAACCGGGACTATCCCCCTTTTTTATTTCATAGGTAAAAACATCCGATATTTTAATGATGTATTGACCCTCTAACTGGAAATATCCCCAGTTTTCATTCCAGATATCTGGTCACCTTACTATTCTCCACAGCTCCACTCCAGTATAATGCTGTTAAACACCCTGTTAAAAATGATTTCTTTTTCTTTTTTCTCTCTCTGTGCAGTACAAGTGGTTGTGCTGCGGCTGCGGCCTGAAGGATCCTTCCCTGCTGCTCTTTAAACAGAAAGCTTTCAGTTACGAGAGTAGGGATCATTACGGATAATAGTGCGGGGGTAATGAAGGCGGGCGGCGGTGAAATCTCTCCAGGATACACAGCGCTGCGCGGCTCGGCTCGGCTCGGCTAGGCTCGGCTCGAGCGGAGGCTTTTGCAGCTCCGGTGGATCAGTGGAAGGTAGTTAGTGAACGTTTCTTTGCACAGTGATTAAGAGGGAGGACCAATGGCAACAAAGGAGACGGAGAGGACGGTAGCTCCTCCTCTCCCTCTCTCTCCCCCTCTCTCTCTCTCTCTGTGAGTGTGTGTGTGTGAGTGTGAGTGTATGTGAGTGTGAGTGTGAGTGTGTGTGTGTGTGCGCTTTATAGATGTATATAATCCCTGAGTTGACCCAGAAAACAAACTCCTCTGACGAGCCGAGACGCCGCAGAGTTTGAATCCACCGCAGGGGCTGCATGTAGCCGGAGCATCAGCTGGAGAAACAACCCCGGCACCGATCCAACTTCTCCGTACGGATTCTTACATTAACACATCGGGTAGGTGTCGTCTTCTCTTACTCCTACAAGAACAGGTAGAGAGGCAGCGACTTTCCCCCTTTTTTTTTTTTTTTTTTTTTTTTTTTTTTGTAGACTAAAATCCTTCATAATAAAATAAACACGAGCTGATCAGATCGGATCACACGCGGCGAAATGCATTTCATTTCCCCTCGTCACTTAGTTTACTTGCAGCGTTTATTATCACAACCTTTGCATTTGTGGCGGTTTTTTTTTTTTTGTGTGTGTATTTTTTTTTTTTTTATGACATCGAATAATGTGAAATAGCCCACACGCGCACGGTTTCATGCTCGTGTAATAATGCCAGCAATTATTATTCTAGTCCCTCAGACTGTGTGTTTAGTAAGTGACATTTGGCTGAATAATCCAGATCCGTGAAGAAGGGCTGTAATTAGGTAACAGAGGAGCAGAATATTTAGGAGAGGGATTTAGGCCATTGAGGAGAAAGTGTCTTGTTTTTATCAGCACTAAAAGGGTTGAATTGGTACAAGCAGCCAGGGGCAACAACAAGAGTTCATTTTTATTTGTATGTTTTTTGTTTTTTTTTTAATTTTATTTAAAAGCCTGAAATATCTTTGTTTGTCACAGACAGACAGTCATTACATGCCTCGCTCTGGGATGTGTGTTTTTTTTATTTTATTTTATATGAACATCCCATTTAGTGGGCTAGCTTATAAAAAATAACAATAATAATAATGTTATCAATTTTAACAAGCCAATAACCTTGACAGCAAATTACAGTTTCAGCTGGGAGCACCATCTTGTTTGTCATCTGTGGGTAATCTTAATTGAAGATCTTTTGTAATGACTGTGTGAAGACAAGAGGTAGTGTGATGTGTGTGTGTGAGAGGGGGGTGGGGGGGTGGGGGTGTGTGGTCTGGAGAAGCATTCCTCTGCGTCCTTTTGGCTGCGAGCGTACTGCTGCCCTCCCTTGTCGGTGTGTTATTCAGTGGTAATTCACTGATGGTGTAATTTTGGTGGTTTGAGATGAGGCTGTGTTTTTTTTTTTTTACGGGGACACTTCTGACTCGACTGGAAGCGAAACTGTGGAGGAGAGTGGTTTCAACAGAGACAGGGCTGCTGTCATGATGGTCACTACGTTGTTGTTTTCACAGGGCAATGAAGCAATTCAGTGAAGCACTTCTATAAAACTGGGAGACTCACCAGATGGTCTCAATCGAAGCAGCTGAGACAGATATCCTGACTTTTAGTCCTAGTAAAGGGGTCAATCTCCAAAAACACTGGATCCTACATTTCCCAAAGAACAACTGGATAGCATTTCTTCCATTACACTCTCCCTGTCTCCCAAAGGCCTCAATTATACTCCCTGGTGGACGCACACCTGGACAGCTGCGGATGCTTAGTTGTTCTTATTGTACTTCTTTCTAGTCCACTTGGCGTGTGCTTAGAGGAGCACATGTACAGTCGGTGCTCCTGTGGTGTAGTGATCCCACGGACATAATGAACTGGTGTGGACACGGACGTGTGCGCAGAGCCTCACGTACACCCTCTGATGATGAAACTTGCATCACGTGTACCCATGTCTAGACCGTCACAGATTCGTGGGTGCAGAAAGTTTAACACTAGTTTAAATACTCACATCTGTCGCCCTCAGTCCTGCAGTTTTTTAATGCAGACTGAATTAAATTGAATTTGTTACACAGACACAGAGACACACACAGACACACACAAAAAAAGAAATGAATTAATTGAATTTTTTTGTTTTGGCAGAATGTATAAAACGTCTAAACCATAAAAATAGAATCAATCACAAAACGTTAGCGGTTAGCGTTAGCCGTCTTAAGTAATGACAGTACTGTTGGTGGCCAGCTGACACACTGATGTTGTTGTGTTCATGCATTATGATAATCAGAAAATGAAACCATAGAACTGTGTGTGGATGCTGACTGGCCGGTAGCTAACACTAGCTAAAGCTAGCTGCCCAGCTGCTCTGTAAATATCAGGCTACTGCTGTGTCAAGAAACACAAAGACCAGCACATGAATTACTTTCATTAAAGTGGATGTCCCTGCTCCACTTGTGCTGGCGGTCCACGGCTGAATTAAAAATTTTTGAATATGTATAACAATGATGACTTTTCTGGTGGTGCAGGTCTTAATTATTCATGTTCAACTGTCTTGAAGTGTTTCAATCATGTTTTAGTCTCGTTGAACTTTGGAGGAAAAAGAAATCATTAAAATAGTGAATCGTCTTTAGTAAAACTGGTGGAATGCCTCTTTAGATTTAAGCTTATCTAGGTTGTAATGAGTCTGTTTGTATTAAACGTCTAATTTTGTCTCTTTTCTTTTCTCAAGTGTCTTTTTTAGTGACAGAGGAACCATGGCTGAACACATGATGATGCCCATGACCCACGGCTTCAGGATGGGCATGAACGGACCTCCGCAGCACAACGGCCAGCCCGGCCTGCGCAGTCTGCCCAACGGCCAGGTGATGCACTACGGCAGGAACCCTCAGAGCAACATGGAGGCTGCCATGAGACAGAGGCCGGGCATGGTGGGACCCGGAGGGATGGGCGGGCCGGTGAACGGAGCTCCCATGGCCAACCACCACCACCAGATGATGTCCGGGAACATGATGTACAACAGCCAGGGTCCGAATCAGCAGCAGCAGCACCACCACATGCATCCCCAGCAGCAGCAGCAGCAACAGCAGCAGCAGCAGCAGCAGCAGGGTGGACACCCGCAGCAGTACCTCCCCGGTAACCTCACCTCCCAGCAGCTCATGGCCAGCATGCACCTGCAGAAACTCAACACTCAGTATCACGGACACCCGCTCAGCTCGGCCAACGGACACCACCTGCCCAACGGTGCTCAGTACCGGGTGGGTCCAGCCCAGCTATCAGGCATGCAGCACATGGGCGGCCCTTTGGGGCAAAACGGCATGGACATGGATCTGATCGACGAGGAGGTTCTGACTTCACTGGTGCTGGAGTTTGGCTTGGATCGCGTTCAGGAGCTGCCCGAGCTCTTCCTGGGACAGAACGAGTTTGACTTCATATCGGACTTTGTGTGCAAACAGCAGCCGAGCACGGTGAGCTGTTGAGCAAAAAGCGGTCCCCGGAAGCTGGTTTGGTTTTGTTTGGACTGGACACCCCCAAAGAATGACTGAGCGGCCGCGGCGGCACAGCGAGAGGAGACAATCTCTCTATTCAGTTTGGGTGTTTCTGTGTCTGTGTAAATGACAGTGTCTAGCACGCCTTCACACTGACCTGCCTGCGAGTTGATGAAGAATTTGTAATGAGAGAAAATGCAGCAAAAGCACCAGGTTTCTCTTCTTTGAGCTGGTGCCAGTAAGATCTGTTGTGTTTTGGCCAAATTGAGGCATCCTGATGCAGCGGGCTCTGTCTGTACCCATCTGGCCCTCAGCACTTGTGCCTGCAGTGCCAAGGCTTTGGGATAATTGTAAACTTAACTAACACAAGAAGGGGAGGGGGGGGGGGCAACAACCTGGAAAGACTGTCCATCTGGGTCTGCTAGATTCTGTGGCATCTCTAAGTGTATTTTATTTCTGATGAGACCTTCAACTAGTAGCAGATGTTTTACAGATTTATAAAAGTTCGTCTTCTGAATTTGTTATACAAGGATGAAGGGATATAAAGTCGAGAATGATTTTTTTTTTTTTTTTGTCCTCTGTGCATATTGAAGGCTGGATCTTCAAAACCGAGTTCCTACATTAAAAAAAAAAAAAGGAAAGAAAAGATTTTAAAAAATAACACATTTCCTTGAAGAGCAGGAGGGTGAGGTTGTGCAGCATTCCTGAGTGACAGACGGGGTTCAGGTGAAATGTGCTACATCGATTATTTTAGCCTTCGGTGTCATTAACTTGACTGAGATAAAAATCTGCTATCATTAAATGTATCGCATCTGTCCCTCGCTATTTAACTGCAGTTGAATCATTGGCAAAGTCGTGCGTGCTGCTTCCAAACAAAGCTTTTATTTGCAAAGAAAATCTTTCTGTTTGGTTACTAATTCGTAGATGTGGTGAGACGGGTCGGGACTGGAGAAGCTTGTTAGTGACCGAGAGACAACATAACCTGTGGCCTGTTGCAAAGGTTCAAGAAAAGCCAAGATAAAAAAAATAAATAAATTTTAAAAAAGCGACTATCAGAAGCGGTTGATACGAGAGCTGAAAAAAAATAGAGGTGCGTGATTGCAGAATTTGCATTTGTGTGTTATTTGTGTGTGTCTGTGTGTGGTCAGTGCAGTGAGGCATTTTAAAACCCATCGAATGGCGTCCTCCCTAAACCGCTGCCTGGCGCGCTGACGCTGATTTGCAGGCTGCGCAGGGAGAGAGAGAGAGAGAGAGAGGTTTTGGTGTGTGGACACAATGTGTGGACACAGCACTCCCCGGCAGCACTTAGTTTAATCATTATTTAAAGCTGCCGCTACCTGTGGCATTGATTTCATTAGGCAGGAAGAGCGAGCGAGGAGCACAAAGCGTGCAAAGTTGTTGTTTTTGCCATAGATTAGCTTACTCTGCTGCTTTTCTACTGATTAGATTTAAATTACATGCTCTCACACGCTTGTCTTAATTGAGGTCGACTTGCACATTCTCCAATGACTCAATAATTATAAAACGGACATGTTCTGTAGCGCTTTTTTTTTTTTTTTTTTTTTTTTTTTTAGCGCAATTGGTAATTAGGTTTTTGTCAAGGTTGTTGCTTTGCCACTGCAGGCCAGCCGAGGGAGAACTTCCTGCACTCGCACTGCTATTTGTGGAGCTGTCAGAGGGGTCAGGACTTGCGCTGGTGCACTGTGTTAATCTGTTCCAATACGACTGTGCTGCTGCCCCTCCCAACCGCCCAACCCCGCCCTCCCGCCTCCCCCGTCTCTCTGGAGATCTGCCATCTCCTAGCTCTCCAGTCAAACAATGGGCATTGAAACGCTGTTATAAAAAAAAAAAAAAAAAAAAGAAGGGCAGAAAAGTGCCAGCGAGGCTCCCGCTCTGTTTTTACTCTGCCAGGCGAAACCCACGACCTCACGGGGTGAAAATGGAAACACTTCTGGCCTTAGCGAGACAGTGGCCTCTGATTACTGCTATATCAATAAGCGCAGCCTTCTTGTGAATTGTATCTTTGTACTGTAGACTAGAGGTGAACTTGATCTAGACACATTTAAGGTACTTTCAGAAAAAGAAAAAAAAAAAAAAACCGTTGTCAGATGTAAATGTAAAATCAGTGGCTGATTTTGATGTGTTGACAAGAGATTATATCCTACATTTCTTTTTTCTTTTTCTTTTTTCTTTTCTTACAAACAAAGTGTGTAGATACAGTATACCAATGTTTCTGGGTGAAAGGGGCCTGAAGCTTTAAGACCAAGTAGACTGCATGTTAAATCAAGCGTGAGGGATGCCACCACTTTCCCACAAAGCAGCTGAGAATGTACAGTACAACAACTTTGTGGGAACTTGTCTTAAGATGGTCGATAACCGTGTGAGATTGTACTCCTTGTTCCAAATTACACATCATTTATTTGGGTAAACCACCTCCTCCCCCCCCACCCCGAGCTCCCGCCTTCCCTCCCGCCCTCCCTCGTCTCCCATCTCCCCAAAGCTTTTGTAATGTTATTGATTCTATTTTAAGAAAATGTATTTATTTTCAAATAAAATATTTATTTAAAGAAACTGCTGTTTTTTGTATGTCAGTGATTCTACTATCCAACGTTAGCTGGTACATTATGACACTTGACTTGCTTAATGGTTAAAACTATAACGTTTTTATTATTCCCAGCTGAACCAGAGGAGCTTTGAGATGCTGTTTGAGTTTTATTCTGTTGTTATTTTAGACAAAGTGATCAGCAAGTACAAGCAACACATTATAAACTGTAGTGAGTCAGCACTGTGTGTTATATAATAGAAAAAAATTCAACTTTAATGGCCAAACGCTGTAGTAACAAGAGTGTAAAGTAAACAGCAGAATGGTGTGCTGTTGTGTAATAACTGACAGTGGCTGTATTCTATTTTAAAAGGATGAAACACGCATCTGCATCTGGTTTCAAAAATCTATTCCAGTCAGCTCACACATACTGACTGATGTAATCAATTATTTAAAGGTCCCATCCAGTGTAAAGGTCTCTGACCATGTGTTGTTTGATTATAGATCAGGTCTAGCTTCTATATTAATACTGGGAAAGGATCGAAGCCTCAGTCCACAGAGAAATGCACACAGCCTGTATTCAGAAACTGAGCCTTAAAACCAGCCGTCAGGACTTCTGGAACTTTGTGATGTCACAACGAAACAGTCACTGCTCTCTGCCACGCCCCGAGCCCCGCCTCCCCGGACCCTCCAAGTCATTGTTTTTTTTTGTTATTTTTAACCCTCTGATACGGCTCATGGGAGAGTCTCCTGAAATAGCTCCCCCTACGGTGGCGGGTGTACCGGACCTTGGTTGTCATGGTTACATTAACAAACACACATACTGCACTGAGAGCGGCACACCTACCTTCGTCGCCATGTTTACTATAATGACGGTCATTGGCTTGGTTAGGTTTAGGAAAAGATGGTGCTTTGGGTTAAAATAAATACTTCCTGAACATTAGACGATCTGTGTCGTCATGGTTACAATCATAATTACTACAAACACCGGTGTTTGTCGCCTAGCAACAAAACGTAACTACGGGTCATAATAACCTGACGACCTACGGGCCCGACAGCCTCGGCCTCGCAGGGTTTGGTTTCTCTGAGCGTCTGGGTGTATTCTCTCACTCAGAAAACACTCTCAGCCAATCAGAAGAGAGGCTCAGAGCCTCCCCTCGTCTGATTGGCTCACCGACCTGTTGTTACTAGAGCTCCAGAGAGAAGCCTGAGAGAGGAGATGTAAAACTGCACCGAGATGGTTTTTGGTTCTTAAAACCACAAATATATCTTCTTATGGATCAACACTTCAAATAAAACACAGGAAAAGTGTCAAATTATGGACCTTTAAAATAACAGGTGTGTTTTACTTTTACAACCTTATATTTCCACCATCTTTTTGTTGAGCGAAGAGCTCTCTGCACATCTCCGGTTTGAGGTTTTGTTTTAAATCTTGCTGCAATTAGAGGAACATTTCTGTGGAGACTAAATATATAAAATAGTCTCATTAAAATTCTAATTAGCTGTGCAGTCGAGTCATATTAGGAGACCTGAGGTACACGTGCTGCTCCACATGACGTTACTCATCAAGGCAATATTTTGTCCTTGAGCTGTTTTTAATGGATTATTGAGAAGTAAGAGAGACAGTGACTCGTGAACATGCGGTAGAGCGAAACCAGCAACAGAACAGACAGTAGGAAGATTTAATAATTGTGTTAAATATTGTTCAAATCAGTCATAGCTTTCAGAGGCTGATTTAGAGGGATAAGTACTTCACAATCGATGCATTTCAATGAAGAATTTTGCTCTACTTTCACATCTATTGTGTGTTGTGGTTTTATGATAATGAAAACGAGAGTCTGAAGAGTTGAAAATCAGCAAAAGTTACAAACTCTCTGTTTCGTGCTGGAACTGTAAGGAAGCGTATTGCTGCCACGCCAGAAAAAGACAAACTCATGTTTGAGTGAGGAAATAGAAGAATAAATCGAGGAAGACGGCTCATTTACAGGATTTGATTAAGTTCTACTTCATGCTTTCATGTTGAGACGCGGCGAGATGCTGCTGTTATCGAGAACTTAAGATACAAATGACGCCTGGAAGACAATGAGCTACAACCTAGATTTCATTAAAACTAACCCTAACCCTTTACTATGACACTTAATTTGGAAAATTGTGTCATAGCATGTGCATCTTTCTTAAACGTGTCCAATCAGCTGAACCGATCAAGGTGCAGAAACATCTCAAAGATGATCAAGAGAAATGGGATGAACCTGAGCTCGATTTCAAGTGTCACAGCAAAGTGTCTGAATACTTATGTCATTGTCATATTTCAGTTTTTTCCTTTTTAAATTTGCAACAACATAAAGTAAGTCAGTGAACAAGAAAAAAGAAAAGAGAGCAATAAATATTAAAAATAACAAATGAAATCAGGTTCAAAGTAAAGAAAATATGAATTCTTAAATTTAACTAAAAGAACATACTTGTTGAATTGTACATTGCTGCGCTATATGTCAAAATGTGATTCCTATAGTGTAATTGAAGTCGTGTTTCACAGCTGTTTCCTGCTGTGAGTGAAATGCACCATTTTCTGCATCAACACCTGCAGGTTTGGTGCAGCTTGCAGCCATGCGGCTTACCAGGATAAATATAAGTTTCTGTTTCAGTAGACAGAAGCACAACAACACCTTCCACAAAGGTGAAGGAGCAGGAACATTAGTAAGAGTCGGAGCAAAAAAAAGTAATAACACAACATAACAGCCGACGGCGTGTCAGCGGTGTTACAGCTGTTCCTTGCAAAACAGCAAAGGTTAATACAAAACAGTGAGCGAGAAATCATTATTATCTCTGTGCTGTCGGTGACATGATCCAATATCTTGCACTAAATCAGTTACCTTTCCTGGGGAAGGAACATGTGTTTGGAGCAGTAGCAGAAGTTGCGGACCCTCAGGAATCATGGGAAAAAAACAAAACACTGATGGCAGCACAGGACACACTAAGGTGACCACGTATCTGAAATGAAAACAGGGGACGTTTCTAGTTTGAGGTCAACATATCATTATAATATGTGTAAAATAAAAAAAAGGGGGGGACAGTCCTAGTTACATGTGTTTTGACCATGGTAGCTGTTGCACTGTAATAAACTGTGGTGAAGGTCGACTGATGAAATGACGACTCCCTCCCAGGGACCAGCAGGAAACTTTTAACAGTAATTTTAACATTGATAATGTTTAATGTTGTGGTATAAAGAGAATTTAGAAAACGCTTTTGAATATAAACAGGCCCGAACCTGACACACTCAGATAATCTCTATTCAACACTCACCTGCAGTGTCAGTCAGAGGCCAGCAGGAGACCAACAAAGAGCAGCCACACCCATCTAGCCTCTCGACCAATCAGAAGGGGCAATGGTAAGGTGTGGGACATTCAAATACACCAATCAGATGGTTAGAAGGAAGTCTATTTTGGAGGGAAACTCCTTACAAATACACCTCCAGGTGCAGCAGACCATTTCCTCTGAGGAAGCTCGACTCCATGTGATTCCACATTGATTTGCATTTGCAAGTGTTTGTTGTTTTTTTTTTAAAAAGATTTTAACAGGGAACAGTTTTAGTCCCATTTTTTAATTCAACTGTATTTTAAATAATGTTTCACCTGAGGAGCGTCACGCAAACTTTTTTAACCCCAAAAACTGCACAATGGCTGTGAGACAACAGATGAACTGGATCAATACCAACAGCGGAGGAGAGGGTCGGAGGGCCAACAAATCCAGCCATCAGGGAGAAAAAGGTGGGACCCACACACACACACACACACACAGGTGATAATGGCTAAATATGCTGGTGGTCAGGTGGATTTCAGTCAGGAAAAGGGGGAGGATTGTTGTGTTGCACAGACCAGACAACAACTCACCAATAACAGGGAACAGGGTGGTCTGAGGGACAGGGAATCTCCTCCTTCAATGTTGGGACCTTTAAAGCTGGACAGATCAATATTTTTTACATCAACACTGGTGAAAGAACCCACGGAGGATTGTCTACACTTCCAGATGATTGTTTTGGTTTTTTACGGCCTCCAACTCCAACACTGTTTTGGTTCAGTCTCTCCGCCGTCATCAGCCTTGTTTCTATCAGTGATTCTCTGATAAACCTCACTGGTGCTCGACCTGTTTCAGCACAAAGTTAGCAACTAGACTGTGAACAGAGTGGAACATATAAGGTGGCTTTATAC